GGGGAGGGGCAGAGGGAGAGTCAGACTCCCTGCTGAGCAGGGAGCCCAAGACGGGGGCTCGATCCCAGGACCGTGGGATCCTGACCTGAGCCGAAGACAGACGCTTAATGACCGAGCCACCCAGGCACCCCCATATTACTATTTCTAACATTTATAGAATGTTTACCTTTGGCCAGGAATTAGGTTAAGCTCCCCCCCGGCCCATATGCATTCTCTTCCTTCCTTATTGCCACAGCTCCAAATGGGACATAATATCTGCATTTTTCAGAGGCATTGTGAGTTCAGTGACCAGTCCAAGGTAGTAAAACGTATAGTTAGGATATCATATGTAACCCGATATTCCCGACAAGTTACTACGTGATTACTTTAAGTGATATGGAGGATGGTTTTGTGAGCTACTCAGATACAGACGTCTCCACCAACAAACATAGTAGAATTCCTCAGTACGGAGGGAACCTTACCACAACCCCATGGCGGGTACCAACATTCCCATTTTGTGGATGAGGACGTGGAAGGTTTACGGAGGACGTCAGAGAGTCTGAGTTTGAATCTCTGCACCTGCTCAGTCTGCAGGCAGACTTTCTCTTGTGCATCCTTCACAGGCAACACGACACTGTTCTGATCTGAGAGGGCTGGTGTGAGGTCGCTGGAGCTAAAGACTCGGCACCTCTTTCTAGAGTCAGGAACGGGTCGATCCTGCCTCTCTTCCTAGCGTGGCTGAGCAATGGTCCGTGACTGTTCCCCAGCTTCCTTAAGCTCCCTCCAGTATCAAATGCAGAGACTCCAGCCTCTCACAGGGTTCTGGGTCTCAGCCCCTAACTGCCCACCACCACCCGCTGTGGAATCTACTCCCCAGCCCGTTCCTCACCCCCAGCATCTCATTTTATGTTTGGTTTTCTACCTGTGGCTCCATCTCCGTGATCCCGCCGTCCTGTACCCCATCCGTGACCTTGGCCACCACCATGCTGACTCTTCTGGATGGGCTGCTTCAGGAATCCTAGGTAAATCCTTTGTCATGCTCATGATGGCTTTAGACTGTGAACTTTGGTGGGGAACTTTGAGCATGAATTTCTGAGCATCTCCTATGTGCCTGGACCAGATGGATCAGATATGCTCCCCCTTTAAGAACTCAGAGAACAGAGACAAATAAACAGAAATGATATCAGAGACAAGGGATGCCCGCTAGTGATGATGGGGAAAGGGGACGGTGGGAATGTTGAGGGAAACCCTAAATCATGCCTGAGGCAGCACACTGTACTTCCCAAAGAAGAGAGGTTGTTAAGTCTGTTGAGCTGGGGAAATCCATTCAGTAGGACTATTTCTTTGTGTCATATTTGCATACCGTGTGGTGTATCTTCTTCCTCAGGTATGATGACCAGGTTGTCCACAGATGGTAAGTGGGAGGCCTGTATCCTTTCTGGTGTGTCTCTTCTCTTGTCTACAAGGTCATGCGGACTTACGGAGGGAGTCATCTACACTGTTACTTATTCATTTAAAATACGTATTTTATTTATTCATTTATTTAATGCCCTAGTGATTTGGGAAGAGCCATTCAGATAGCATCCAGTCCCATTGTGTTTCTTTGAGTTTTAAGGTGATGGAAATTTTTTATTCCCGCATGGCAGAGCTGGAAATCTACCTGATAGTTATTATCCCGTAGATTTTTGAAGGTATAAAAATAGCATGTGTGTGTGGGAGAAGTTGAGGGGACATAAAGTCAACATCAGAATCTCCTCCTCATCCCATCCCAGGTCTGTCGAGTCTCTGGTGCGTTCTTTTTTTTTTTTTAAGATTTTATTTATTTGACAGAGAGAGAGACAGTGAGAAAGGGAACACAAGCAGGGGGAGTGGGAGAGGGAGAAGCAGGCTCCCCGCAGAGCAGGGAGCCCGATGTGGGGCTCGATCCCAGGACCCTG